AAGAAGAGGAGACACATGTATGTACACTGCAGGTATTCTCTGTGTTAATCTGTTGCTGTACTTGCTATACATGGCATAGTGTGCAGAGGTATAAAGAATGCTTTCCTTACCTTTGCAGGGCAGGTGTGGGTTATTTTTAGCCCACAGTTTGTCCCAAGCTGAGCTCCGAGCCTTCTCCTGTCTGTCTTCTGATTGCTTTTAGATTTCTGTCATTTGTCTGCAAAATGGAGTGAGTTCCCTGTATGAGAAATGCTGTTGTGAGATTGCAGCTCCTCCACTCTCCTCCATTCTCCTCCTTCCCTTTCATCCTTCCTCCTCCTGCACTGTGTTCCATGGCTGTGGAGGTGCTTGTAGCCCTCACAAAGATGACTTCTCCCCACACACAGGACAGGAGATAGGAGCCCTGGAGGAGACACTGATCCTACCCAAGGTGCGGTGGCCGAAAGACTGGTGCAATATAACCACATGGGAAATGATAAAAGTTCATGTTCACGGCTACAGGTCCACATGACCGGCCCTGGCCAATCCCAGGACCCAGCCACTCATAAACTTCTAGCACAAAGTTGTAAATTTTCATAAAACAACGAGGAATTTATTGCATTTCTTCATGACTGCTTTAAGTGCAGCCCTTTCTCCGCCGCCATCTTTTTTTTCTCTAAAAGGAGAATGTTGCAGTTCCTGTAATTTGCTGTCAATGAACATGAAGTGCATTTTTTCCCCTTTTCTATTGCGTGCTACACTGCTCATACACACACATGCAAATTATGCAAATGTGGTGTGTGTGTGTGTGTGTATATATAATTCTATATTCTGTATGCATCCAGATGCATCGCCAGGTGTGAAGATGAGAAGCTTCCAAGATCGTGCCAGATATCTCTCCATCTATGACGCAATGTGCACCTAAATGCGCCACCAATGATCACATGATTGAGTCACCAACGAATTGTGTTAGTTTCAAAATATTAAATTTTTTTTTATGAGCAGTTCTCAATGCTCTGTATGCTGGATCCGCTCAACAGATCAACTTCACTGAATTTAGTCAAATAATCAACTCAGTTAGAAAAACAAAGAAAAAAAGTAGGTGGAAGATATATACATACTTTTTTCCAGTCCACCTTTCATATAACGTCTATACCATTTTTGTTAATAAACAGCGCCAAAAAACACGGGCACAAATATGAGTATAATAAAGTGAGTAAACGGTACCAATGTGTTGTCTTGTTACTTTTATTATGTTCGTATTATTGTTGAGTTTTTTTGTGTTTTATTTTTTATAATACATTTTGAAGTTTAAAATATAATTTTTTGAATAAAGAAACGAAACCGCATTTTTCTCAATTATTTTATTTGTTTGAAATATTACCAGACCAGAGCATTTCAAAACAAGAAATAAACACTAAGTTCTAATTATATTAAAATTAATAACAGACCACATATTTTTTTTTTTTATACACGCACACACACACACATACATACTACAAGACGAGCATTTTAAGGAGATTTTAAGGGTGGAAACTTAAGACAAATATTTTTTTAAAATCATTTTACTAGGTCAGCAGATCTGTGACTACAATCCACAGTAATATTGTATCTGAACAAAACACAGTCCTACACAAACACTTGGGATTTCCCTTCACATTTAAATCAGACGATCTATTTAAACACAGTCACGATATTTTATCAGGGTCTCTCCAGAAGTTGGAGTCTCTGAAAAGTTTGATCTGCAAATAATTGTGCTACATGAAGTCACATCGTAATGGATCTAATCTGTCACCACATCGGGGTAGGTAGCTAACCCTATAATAGAAAAGGGATCTAGGTAGTATGGTAGAATCCAGTAGATTCAGTGGACCTTGTGTAGGGGGGTCACCAGTCTTTTTGAGGTCTCTGGTCACTCCTCTTCCTCTTCCTCAGTCTCCGGCTTTTCCTGGCTGTTTGAGGAGGGGCTGGATGCCTTGTTCTCTTTTTTCCACTTCATCCTCCGGTTCTGGAACCAGATTTTGATCTGTCTCTCTGTCAGGCATAGGGCATGAGCGATTTCTATGCGCCTTCGTCGCGTCAAGTAGCGATTATAGTGGAACTCCTTTTCCAGCTCCAGGGTCTGGTACCGGGTGTACGTCTGGCGACCCCTCTTTCTGTCAGTGCCTGAAATATACAGACCAAGCAAGATCAACACAACTGGTCCTAGCTACAGTATACTGGACATTGCACCTAAATCGCTTATACCTTTGTAATATATGACATTACCTGTGTTATTTATCCATTGGCCATTGTGCCAATATCCATATCCATACAGCCAATGTGCATGTGTGTGCCACAAGCTTTCTCTCAGAGTGTGTGTGCGTATGTGTGACAGTTAAGCCATCTTGGTATATGATATGTAGGTAACCCTATAGGTGTAAGGAATTCCTCTTAAATCAGGAAACTGGGGGTACATCTGTGAGAAAGCTAATTTTGTAAGGTTAGAAAATGAAATAGGTAGAGCTGCAGGGGATCAGGTGAGTGGGATGAATGTTCTAGGTTGTACTGCAAAGATACAAGTCAAGATGGAAGCTATAAGATAATTGTAGGTTTAAGTGTCTACACGTTGTATTTTACAGTATGACAGACTACAGAGGAAAATAACATGTGTTCCAGGATAGAACACGTGTTTGTGGTCGGATCATATCCACTGTGACGAATTGCTGGATTAATATTTGGTCGGTCTTTGTGCGGGACAGGAGGGGAAACCCTGTCCCAAAAAGAATCAGCACAAGACGAAAACCTCACACAGATAGACTTAATCATACAACATATGTATATATATATATATACACACACAGACATAAAACAATCGCAGGCCTGGTATGTGTGATTGGGGCTAACATTCGGTGGCTACATGACAATCATAAAAGACACTTGCTTTGCTATTGACAACTGACTTTCCAGCTGTCACTGTAACAGACCCCCCCCCCCCTATTTTTTTAGCATATTAAAATTCGTCAAGATGAAGACTTGATAATAATGACTGTCCCATAAGCATAGAGAGGCTTACTAATGTAAAAAAAGACCAGCCTATAACTATTATAGTTTACATGTAGTTCCTCTTGGGGGAAAGGTGTTATGTCACGAATTTTCATCACGTAAATGCACATGAATAAACAGTCCTAGAAGTTTAGAAGTTGATGATGTCTGATAGATAGATAGATAGATAGATAGATAGATAGATAGATAGATAGATAG